CAGAGAACAAATAGGTATTTGGTCGCATTCCACGTGACTGTGTTCAGACTCTTGAAGAACCTGTTAGTTATTCTAGATTGGAAACATTGTAAAATGCACTTGACATTTCAGTATTTTGGGAATTCCCTGGACCTTCCAAATATGCCACTGTTAGCGAGTGCGTGGGAGAGAACTGACAAGTCAAAGTTAGATTGTTGGAATGTTCGCTTAAGGCTATCCGGTATTCAGACTTGCAATGAGTCTGTGGTATAAACCTCAGCTTCTTTGCCCTTTCAAACTTCTCTGCCTTCATTAGATGAAGCTCACCAGTTCTCCAGCAATCCCATTCGCATACTTTCAGCCGTTAAGTGTAAAAGTTATGACGACCTGGGTTGAGAATGGGATTTTCTCATTCTAAGCACATCTGGTTAAAGTTGCTTTACTTAACGGTGTTATGTGCTATGATTTGTGCTTGAACAGATACGAGCATCTGTGTTTTTCCAAAATCCTTTGATGTCAGCTAATGTAATACACTTCTACAGAGTGTAAATTAACAGAGGTTTCATTCAATTTTAGTCTATGTTCCCTCTCTACTTTCTGTCAAATCTTCACTTCTTCACATTGTGCGTCATCTGGTAAAGTAGGATAATGCGTTTCAGCCTTTCCTGCTGCTCGAATCAGTGAGAGGATGTGAACATATCTTAAAGTAAGTTGGATGAATGGTTGCTGTTGATATTTGTGTTTTGCAAATGTAGGTTAGCACACTTAATGGTTAATTGCAACCAACACACTCCTTTGCCCTGTTAATTAGTGGTCTTTAATTCCTTGTCTCAGGATTCATTAACTCTCCTGTATTCTGACAGCTGTTTACCATAACAGTACTTACATGTGGCTGCCATTAAAGTGCTACAATGCCTTTACTGAAGTATAACCGTCAAAGATAAAACTACTGTAAAGGCGTAAATTGTTGCTGAGTATCAACTTTCGTTCCACCCCTGTTTTATGCATTTTAGTCAAATACTGAAATGTTTTTCGTGATTGTTATTTTCTGAGACTTTGTTTCTACGTTTCCATCAATCTTTTGACTGCTGTATATACACATCACATTCCAATGCAGCATTGGGGGAGTGTTGCATCTTCCGCTGTCCTGGTCAACAATATCCCAGATAAAATTGAACCCAGACTTCATGGCTGTTTGTGGGTCATTGCTATGCAAAAATTGACCCCTGCATTTGCCTATAAATGGTCAATTCACTTCAGAGTAAAAAATCTTGTGAAGCAATTTGAGACATCTCAACGATGCGATAAGGCACTTTATCAAATGCTATATATACAAATGCTTTATCACTATCAAATCAAAAGTAAGTACATTGTTTGCTTTAGATCCCTTGAAATTAGTGATTTATTATTATTATAAAAAATAATAAATTGTTCAATTCAGTCCAAGACTATTTGTGGGACACTGCTGTGCGCAATTGGCTGCCGTGTTTCCCCCCAACAAAATATCCAGTCAATTCATTTTACAGTATATTCTGTGAAGTGCTTTGAGACGTCTCAAAGATGGGATAAGGCACTATATCAAATGCAAAGATTATTATCATTATTTGGGTATTTATTAACATATAGGTTCAAGATCATATCATTAATATTTCTCTTTAGCTCGAAGCAAGAAATTCTGCTGCAAACCAAATTATGTTGCAGGAAAATGTCAATTCTACTTAGCCACATGGTTAGCAGCAGTGAAAATGGAGGAATGACAGATTGAGCTCACTGAGTTACTACAGCAAACGTTCAATCGAATCATTGTCTCAACATGTGATGAAGCTTCCCCCTCTTGAGGACAATGAAGGCAATGTTTATTGCAGAGCTACAGGAGTTCCATTCAGTTGTCTGTCACTATCTGTTTTATTTGTAGATGAACTTCAATATTAAGAGACAGACCTCGCTTGACAGATGGAAACAGCCACTTGTGTTATAAATTAAGAATATCACGAGATAGGTTTGGATTAAGAAGGTTCCTTCAGTCTATCTGATCTATCTGATCTCATCCATATCGAACACCCACCTTCCAGTCTTCCCATCAGAGCATCAAAGTGTTTTATAGATGAGTCCAAGGTCCTGGCATCAGCCACTTTTCTTTTAAACCTGTTTGGGTCAATAATTGTCCTCTGGGTAAAGAAAAACTTCCTGGTGTCTACCGCAAAATTTCCCTTTGTAACGTTCTCTTGCTCTAATGCCTTGGTGCATTTTCAAGTAGTGTTCTGGGTTTACCTTTTCAATCTCATTTAAAATGCTATACACTTCAATAAGGTCCCATCTTAAAAGTCTCCTATCAAGACTAAAGAGCTGACTAAATCATGACCTCAACTCCAAGCTTACTGCAGCATCTTACTCCAGTGAATTTAACATTGCAATTGATCAGGAGAGTTGAAAGAAACAAAAAGATTTATGGTTATATCTCTACTTTACAAAGCCACTAGAGAGAAATTCTACATGACGTGAGATTTACTCCATGCAGCACTTTAGAGCATTCAGAATCCGTCAAATTTCTTAAACACAGGTTATCTGTAAGTTCTTTTAAGAACCCCAGGAAAAAAGGCCTTCAAAGTTATGGCTGAATCCACATTCTGAAACTCCACATTAATAGAGGAAATCTAGACCCAGGTGGAATTAGAAACATAGAAACAGGAGTAGGCTATTCAGCCCCTCGAGCCTGTTCCGCCATTTTATAAGATCATGGCTGATCTGTACCTCAACCCCAATCCCCCGCCTTGCCCCGTATCCTTTAATACCCTGACCTAACAAATATCTATCCACCGCAGTCTGAAGATGTGAATGGATCCAGCATCCATAGCCTTTTGGGGGAGAGAGTACCAGATTTCCACTATCCTTTGGGTGTAAAACTGACTCCTGATTTCACTCTTAAATGGCCGAGCTCTAATTTTAAGACTATGCCCGTTTGTTCTGGATTCCCCTACCAGAGGAAATAGTTTCTCTGCATCTACCCTATTGAAACCATTTATTATTTAAAAAACCTCAATTAGATCACCCCTCAACCTTCTAAACTCAAGGGAATTGAGTAAACTCAAGGTTTATGCAACCTGTCCTCATAATTTAATTCTCCTAAATTCTGAATTCTCCTCATACACTGTGAGACTGGTATTGATTAAAATCAAGCACGATTGAGATTTGGTAAGAAAACGTTTGACTTGTTTATCACGAACGAGGAATGTAAAGTAACTTGAGAAAAATACTTCAGTTCTCTTCGGAAGGAATTAAATCGTACACTTGCACCAAATTTCACTGAAGCCTGAACCTGGCTTGATGTGTGCTTTGGATCTGTTGAGAACTGTCTGGTTAAGGTTAGAATTTGCAATTGCCGTTTACAATTGTTCTTCTTCTCCCTATGAAACACTGATGTGAAAGGCGCTATACAAATGTAACATTGTTGTTGTCGTCTACCTTCTCCCTTTGTCTCCTTTCAAGTTCCTCTTCATCAGTTTTCCTTTAGTAACATCATATTTGTGAAGCAATTCATTTTAAGAGAATACAGAATTTTGTTTTCTCTAAACTTGGCTTTTTCCTTGAGTTGTCCTTTGAAACCTTGATCCAATGTTTTCCTTCTCTCTACTTCAAGTCCTCATCAGCTTGTACACCTCAATGCCAGCCTTTGTGATCATTGTAGTAGTCTATATACTTTCATTCAGATTTACATATAGATTGATTGTCTCTATTTTGAACACTTCACCCAGATAACTAAGATATCTCATTCACCAGTTTTTTTTTCTGCGTATGACATGCTAAATGAAATTGCTGTGCTTGCCCGTGCCAATTAACAAATGGCATCTATTAAAAGAAGCTAAAATGATATCCCTTGAATTCGATACCGCTCTTTTCACTTCAGGATAATAATAATAATCCTTGCAATTGATATAGTGCCTTACCATGTCTTCGAGACGTCTCAAGGCGCATCACAGAATATACTGTAAAGTGAATTGACTGTATATTTTGTGGGCAAAATGTGGGTTTAATGTTTTGTTGGTTTGACAGCAACCAGCATTTGTCTTAAAACTGTTCTTTGCTCTAAACCTATGTCCCCTTGTATCGTCTTGGTGCACCACAAAGTATTGATCTGGGTTTATTTTTAAAACCTATTTACGATTTAATATACACCTCTATAAGATCCTCTCTGACTTCTGAGACACCTTCTCTCAAGACTGAAGAGTCCAAGCTTGTCTAATCGCCGCTCATATCTTCATGCCTCTAACACTGGGGATTATCCTCATTGCTCTCCTCTGTGCTTCCTCGATGGCATGAGCAGCCACTTACGTCTGTCTCAGTGACTAGTTGGTGTCAGGTCAAACGTCTTTGGGGGGTGAGGAAATCTTTAACTGTAAATACGGAGACATTTTCCTCACCTTCTGCCAAGGCAATTTTGAGCAAGTTCCAGCCAGCTGAGTTTGGCATCTCACTGGCGCCTTTCTTGCCAAATTTTGGCTCAGTGTTTGCAACTGTAATAATCTCAACAGGCTCTGGGTAAACACAATCTGTCACAAAACCCAACTTAGCTGCATTGATCCTAAAGCTTTATAAGGCAGAAAACACACTTTTTCTTAACACAGCGTTTTAAAAGTGGACAATGGAATATCGGCCGGGGAGGGGAGCAGGGGGTGGGTGGGGGAGGTGTTGGGGGAACAGATTGCGGCAGTTGATTTTATCACCGGTGGTGATTATTAATTAACCAAAACGGTGGTTATCCCCTGTCAATTGTTATTGCTTACATTGGATGAAAAGCATCACACCACACTCCCTCTCCCCCTTTTCCCCGACCGGGTAGAGTTAATTACTGATTGCCTTTGACTGGGTATTGGTTCATGTGTTAAAACACATTGGAAAAAACACATTGCACCTCAGTTACTACCCTCCGTGCCAGCTCCTGATGTATAGGCCTGATGCAAAGGGTTAATTGCAACCCCACCGTTCATCAAACTGATCTGGCGAATAGGCTTTTGAGCACTTACCAGAGAAGTTGACTTTGCGAATGTACTCGAGCAGGACCTTGCCATCTATAGGGTCCATTTTGGGGCAGAGGCCGATGTGACCTCGACACAGGTCTTTGTGCATGTTGTGCAGAGCGTTTGCCATGGCGTAAACGGCATCGATGACAAACAGCACCTTCCCTTCCTGCTCGTAAGAGTTGTTTCGCCCGATCCTCTCCAACCCTAAGAGAAAGGGAAAACAATTTAGTGGGTTACAATTCAGCCCTTGAGACTGCCCTGGAATGCGTGCATTGGGAGAAATAGTTTAGCCTACTTATAATAATAATAATAATAATCCTTGCATTTGATAGAGCACCTTATCATGTCTTCGAGACGTCTCAAAGCGCTTCATAGAATATACCGTATATGTATATTTTGTGGGCGAAACATTTAGAAAAAATACTAAAAGCAAATGATTGTGCTTGCAAACTGGCGTGAATAAAAGTTCTAAAAAGAGCATCATTTATCTGTCCTGAGGGGCTTCTACATCTGTTTGTGTCTTACTGGGGGAATCTACTGGATGGTGCAAAAGCAGGTCTGAACTAAAATTCCATCATTCACATCCTCGCTTGCACCGAACCTCTCATGCCCGTCGCCCCAGTCCTCGCCAGGTTCCACTCGTTTCTTCCCCTTGACACGGGTTAATGTTTAGGCTGTGACCTAATGCGCCAGTAGTCAGCCATTTTGTATGCCACGCACCGAAACAATGGCCAACCTCCTGGTCACTGGGTTGCCACAGCACATAGGAAGTGACGTCAGCACCAACATAATGCCCCACCAGTCAGCCATTTTAGTTTCCTAGAGCGGGCCGGTGCTTGGAAGCACCGATGGAGCCATGCGCAATTGGCTGCCGTGTTTCGCCCACATAATAAACATTCAACTCACTTTACAGTATACTCTGTGAAGCGCTTTGAGACGTCTTGAAGACGTGATAAGGCGCTATAATCGAATACAAGGATGACGCGCAGCAAATACACAAGCAATGACCAGCACTGATGCCATAGGTTAGAACTTTACACACCCTTTACTAAGACGATGCCAGGGATGGGTGGGCATATGGAATGCCCTACTGGGAGCAGTGATCGAGGTAGAGTCCATATCACCTTTCAAAAGGGAACTAGATAAATACCTACAAAGGAGTAAACTACAGGGATATGGGGGAAAAAGGCAGGTAAACAGTACTAAAAGGATCGCTCTTCTTCAAAGAGCCAGCACGGATATAATGGGCTGAACTGACCTTCGTCTGCGCCATATATTTCTCTGGTTCTCTGATGCTCATTGTTGTCTTACTCCACTTACTATGTAACAGTAAGTGCTTACCAAGGCTATTGAATGGATCGCTTTAATGGCCTTTGGTTTGATGGTGGCTGACTGGCGTTCTGACTAGCAAGACTGTCAGGCTGGTGATCGGGGCTTCCTTAAACGTACGCGTGTGAGGGAAGAAATGAAAAGTCGTTTTTTTTTGTAGCTGAAGGTCCATTAACGTTTTCTTTGTGTGATGTTTTATTCCACTCTCTGGTTAAAAGACGTATTACTGGTCCTCCCACACAGCACCAGGTCAGAAACAAACCGATCAGTAGGGGCAGCTTCAGGTTTTTCTGCGATGTAGAGCATTCAGCATTCGTTTTATCTATCAAATGATTCTGAAACATTTGTGTCACTGTACCACTGATACATTTAAGTCAACAAACACTGCAATGGTTGCCAACTCGCAGAGGGAAGAGTTATCAAAGCAGGTAACTCTTTCAGCGAAAGAACTGACAGTCTTTAAAGAACCATCCCACTACTCATACATATTAATTGAAATATTCTGAGACGTGTCTGGATTTGGGGCTGTATAGAACATGAGCTATATTCAGCGTTAGTCTTTCATCTCACAGTCATGGTGTAAACCATTGAACCCAGCCAGTCTACAAGCAAGTAATAAACTAGAACTGGGTTGAACCTTATTTTCATCTGAATCTCGACAGATAACGTACATCAATAGAAATATGCCTAGTATGCTGATAGCGCAGTACAGTGGAATGAGTGCTGTATTTATTTGGACTGCACGCAGGTCAGGTTTCCTATTTAATCTAACGATATACACAAGTAAACTGTTTCTCTGTATTCTGAGCAATATACATGTGAACATGTAAAATAATTCATTTTGTTTTTACTTTGTCAAAGTAAACACTAGCTTTTACATGCAATACATACACACAGTTTTAGTTAATAATAGTCCTTGCATTTGATACAGCGTCTTCACAGAATATATTGTATACTGAGACTGTGAGCGAAACGTAGCAGCCAATTGTACACAGCAGTGTCCCACAAACAGTCGTGGATTGAGTGACTAAATTAGTATTATTTTTTTTTGAAGGGATTATTACCCCCAGAAAGCATTCGCCAATCGACTAACAACTAGGTTCCTACTTACTGCTCGGTAAATTGAGAAGTGTGGAGTAAGGAAACTTGCCTAAGGTTTCACCCCACCCGGACAATATTATATGAGCACAAGTACATCAGAAGACATGTATTGACAACCTTGCCATTGTCAGAAGACAGGCATTGACAACCTGACCAGTGTAACAATTAACAGAGGAGGAAAAGCCAGGCGTGAATAAAGTGTCTGTCTCACAGAAGCAAAAAGGCAGCAAAGACTGTGGGGGGAAAAAGAGACTGAGCACTCGACATATTTGAGGATAATGTAATACAGTGAAGTGAGGAATGGTAAGAGGGTGTATTGAGGAAAGGGTATTGAAACCGATTCATAAAAGAGACAATGGAATCAGTGCTGTGTCTCAGGCGGGAATCGACAGCTCTTTAGCTTTTTTATTTCCTTTCGAATTCCAGTCATTCAGGCCAATTGGTCCAATTCATCCAATTCCCTCACTCGGTGACAATTCTGTACTTCAGAAATACAATTGCAGAACCTGACAAGAACTGGGAAATAACACAGTCCGCAGCCCCATTTACGCTTTTTGTCAGAATTAGTGCCCTCTGGAGAAATTTCCCAGAGATTCTTTTCGGCGCATCTCAAATAACCATTTCAAAAAGCATAAACGGAATCCTGGTAAGGAGATGAAGTGAGCCATGGTTCATCGGCAGCTGCATGATTTATTCAAACTCCAAGTGTGATCCAATGGTCTAGCAGTGATCAGATGTCACTAAGCTAAGCCATCACTGCCAGAGCTATTTGCAGCAGCCAGTTGCTGTTATAATGTAATGGCGTAAACTCAATATTGTCACCTGCACTGGGTGTTAACGCAGCTGGTCTGAAAGAGTACAAGCCCCATTACTGTGAACACAGCAGAACTGAGACTCATACCCATATTGGAGTCCCGGTTAGAGCATTCGCCTCGCAAGCGAGAGGACCCAGGTTTGATTTCCGAAAACTTAGTTGAGTTTCCTTACTCCACACGCCTCTGTTTATCTATTATTATTATTATTATTATTATATTACCTAGCAGTAAGTAGGAACCCGGCGGATTGCTTTCCAGTGGTATTATTCCCTAAAAAATAATTTGATGACTTAATCCACCACTATTTGCGCGACACTGCTGTGCGCAATTGGCTGATGTGCTTCATACAAAAATATACACTCAATTCACTTCACAAAATATTCTGCAAAGTGCTTTGAGATGTCTTGACGACATGGTAAGGCACCATATCAAATGCAAGGATTATTATTAATGTTATTATTATTATTGTTGTTATTATTATTACATCACTCTGCCTCCCTACTCATTTTGAATAGCCCCATTGGATCTTTAATGTCCACCTGAACAGGCAGATGGGACACCAATTAAAGGGCTGTCCCAGCATGGCATTGGAGCATCGTGGATAGATTCTTGTTAGATACAGGTATCAAGGAATGCGGGGCAAAAGCAGGTAATTGGAATTGAGGTACAGATCAGTCATGATCTAACAGAATGGTGGAACAGGCTCGAGGGGCTGATTGACCTACTCCTGTTCCTATGGCCCTACATTCCTATGAAATGGGGCTTGAATCCGCAACCTCCTGACTCAGAGGTCACGAATGCTTTCAACCGAGCTCGGCTAACACCGAATTACTCCATTCAATTTCAATTCATTCACCAACTGTGTATCAGATTGTCAGTATTTATCGTCCGTTCGACAGTGGTTATTGCACTCAATAATAAAACAAAATCAAAATCCCACCACCCATCATCATAAGTTCACAAAGAACAGCAGCTATCAAGCAGTCTGTGGTAACGGCAGTTTATTTGAACAGACGAGCGGCGATCTGTTAAATAAGGGAAATCGAGGCAGCTTCCATCATATTTCAATTTATTTCCACCAGAATGTATACGATTTGGTAAGTCCCTGCAGAATCATTTGGCTCAAAATTATTTGTTGTTCCTGCGCTGGAGATTGAATTGTGGAAAATCGGAACAAAACACAACAAATTGCAACTCAGACAAACGGCATAAAAGGCAGTTGTCAGAGACAACCAAGTCTTTCCAGATTATTTATGATGTGACTGGGTTCCCATCACTAACAACCAGGGCAGCTGTTTCATCAAAAGCCTACAGGCTCCTGATTGATAATCTCATAGGAAAGTGGAATGCCCCCAACCTTTAGCCAGTTTGTGCACATGTTCATTACAGCAGAAAAATGAGCTAGTTAATTCTTTCACTAACATTGGATTTCATTTTTAAGGAGCGGGGAACTATCGAGATGGATAATGATACGTCAAATGATTTAGAGTAACAGAAGAATACATCCCTGTCCTATCTGTGGGCAGGCAGTGAGCCTTTCTATGTCATCAGAAGCTGCCATGTATGTTTGTTTAAAGTTCTGACTCCTGATAGGTGAGCATTGATTGACCAAGTGCCTCATACCATTGAAAAACAACATTGAACCAAGTAGAGACATGCTCTGCATTGCATAAAATTACTAATTAGTCACTCACTCCATGGCCGTTGTAGGATATTACTGAGTGCAAATTGGCTGAAGCATTTGCTTACAACTCTACAGTCACTTTACAGTATATCCTGTGAAGCACTTTGAGATGTCTTGATGACTTGATAAGAGGCTTAATGCAAGGGTTAATTATTGTTATAGAATTTCATAGAAAGTTACAGCAAGAAAACAGGCCATTCAGCCCAACTAACCACTGATTTACAGGGTCCTGCAGCTCAGTGGTTAGAGCACTCGCCTCACAAGCGAGACACCTG